ATTTACATAGAAATTCATTATTTTCTACCTTTATTAAATACAAAATTATTATTTTTATATTTAATTATGATATTCTTTTATATTTACTATTTTAAATATTATAGTAACATTCAGTTTTTTTATATAATTTATTTAAATTGAGTGATAATATTTTATAATATTTCTTAAAATTTATTTCATGTAATACTTAATTTTATATTTTTTTCCAAAATTTATGGAAAAAACAATAAAATGATTATTTTATGGTGTATTAATGAATTAGATTTTTATTTTTTTATAAAATAGTTTATATTGTTATTTTATGTATTTTAAATTGAGTTGATAATAATATTAATTTTATTTATAAATATTGATGAAATTATTATTCATTTTATATATTGAATATGGATGTCAAATCAAAGATCGTTAAAATATGATTATTTTGATAGATTATATATAAATAATAATATACAAATAAAAAATTATCAAGTTTTAAAAACAAAAAGAATACATATTTATAATAACTAATATATAAATTAAATTAAAAAGATAAGAGTTGTATATGGTAACTTAAGAAAAAAGAGAAGATGAAATAATTTATGGTAATTCACAAGGCTAATAGTCGAAACTAAACTTGAACATGTGTCAATACGAAGCACCAATTCATGTCAAATAAACTTACGAAGCACACGAGCCTGTCACATAGGCCTAGCGCATTCGAAAATTATATATAGGGGCGATTTGAAAACAAATAAATTTTAAAACTAGTAATTCTTTAATTTTTAAATTTAAATTTGAATTCCTAACTAACCTTTGTGTAATACGCGAATGTTGTACTAGTTTAGATTAACATTGTGTTGGTTCGACAAGAAAACAAATTTATCTGAACCGGGACAATATAACATCGCCATAATATGACCTAGCTAGTGACATGAAATATAATAATATTATTTTAAAAATTATATGCAATTTTTTATTCAAAATCCTTATAATTTATAACAAACATTAATTTAAAATTATTGATTTTGGTTAAGTTATGTCCGTTAATAATTCATAAAAAAGGAGCATTAAAGTTCAAACTAATTTGTTTGAGTGAAATTTTTAATAATCCATTTTGCTTATATAGCGGTTGGAAAGAAAAAAAAAAGTTATGCAATTTGATTCACTTGTTACAATTTTAGGTGGATAGTTAAGGTGGATTAAGTGATTAATAACTAGTTCCGTAAGCAATAATACGATGCACCGGGTGTATATTGGAAAATTGATGTGGCAGTCATGTATTGGCTTAAAGTTCAATGGAATGGTCCCGTTAAAAGACACAACGGGACTTTAGACTTTTCCCTTCTTTTATAATATCTTGAAGAGCCTCAACCTATCAAAAAAGAGTGACA